ACCTACAGAGAGATAAAGCAGTTACATGGTGTGAATAAAGCCTGTGTGAGGCTTGAATCAAATCCAAGGTGTTTGTGTTCTGAGAACAGAGCGCTGGTTATTGTGAGATGTTGTTGTCTCTGTTGGTGAGTCATGGCTGTTTTGTCACTGAAGGGAATCTCCAACAGCTGGAGGCTCGTCTGAATGACTGAAAACTGTTCAATACTGATTGCAAATGTCAAGATTATTTGGTTGGAAGCCACAGAAACGCTGAAAAAGCTGATGCTGTGTTCAGGAGCCCTCTATGGAGGTTGTTAATTTCAAGGTGCGAACAATAGATTTTTCTGGGCTGAGACATTTGTTTGACATTTCAAAGGAAGCTTGTGTAACACTCTCTGATTATTGGAGAAACTATCTGTGATACATTTGCATTCAAGAAAAATCAAAACCAGCAAATTTTCTTAATTATTCTGGTATCTGGCATTCTTCTGTTTTGACATTCAACTGAATGAATAGAGAGTAGCCAGGTAGTAGATTTATTCATCTGTATTTGTACCACCTGGTTATAGTTTTAAAACTGAAATACAGGTGACACATGCATTTTTTGCTAACACTGACAGACTGATGTAGCATCAGCAGAGCTCTGAACAAAGTCACTAACAGGCAAACTTACTAACACTCTGACCCGAACACAGGCAGTAAAATTTTTCATAAAGACATATGATATGTACAGAAGACGAAAACACGTTTGTCTTTTTTTATGGTGTTTATCAGAGTAAAATACTGTGTTATGTGTTGTTTACAACTGGTATAGCTAACAACAACTAACAACAGCTGACAACAGCTCACAATGGCTAAAATAGAGGACAAACAAATTATATGATACCTTTTCTCTCAATTACCGAAACAGGAATAAAAAGGAGCTCGCCTGGAGTCAAGTGAGTGAGGAGGTCGGATTACCTGGTAAATTGTAAAAAAAGACTCTTTGTTTGTAACTTGATCCTGCAGGTTGAATTGGCAGGGATTATCGTTGAAATTGACAAGCGAATGAAGCGAGTACATACCATTCGTTCACGCGTGTACATTCACGGAAATTAAGTGAATAGATGCTTTTACTCACGCTTGGTGTTTTTATGCCCCATAAGTCATAAAAAGTTATCAAAATTGGAGTGACATTATTTGAAAACCAGTTAAAAACTCCTCTCAGTGCCTTTAATGAAATGATGATCCATTGATTGTGTTCAACTCCAACCCCAAACAGAAGGTCACTACTCAAATGGCTGTAAGTAAAAAGATATGATACCTTTTTTTATGTTTTCATCATTGGATGGACTGCAAATGTCTCAGTCGACACAGATGTAGATGATAACTGCGGAACACTGAGGTGATGTAAACATGTGAAACCACGTTGAGTTTAAAATGTGCTCTCTCTCTCTATAGATGTCTAGAAATCCTGCAGCACAGAAATATCTGACTCAGTGCACATATTCAACAGGTGAGACCTGCATTATTAACCATGTTTGTACTTCACATTGGCAACCTCTGTTTGCAACACAATGCCATTTTCCATTTATCCAAAACTCTGCAATGAAAGGAAATCCATCATTTAACGCATTTGTATTTATATCTTTATCTTTTATTGAGACTGTTAATGGGACCACAGTGTGACCACAATATTTACAAAACCACCTTGTACAGTATCTTAGAAACAGAATTGCTGTTACCCGCACGGGGTCACCTCCCACTGTTTGGCTCTGTGTTGAAGAGTATCAGTTTCCAGAATCGAGTTTCATTGTAGGACATTAATTGGACACATGAGGGGGAGGACGGGGTCAGCGCAGTGACCCGGCTCTCTAGTTTGGCGACACACAGTGAGGAGGGGGACTACATCATGGCTGCGAGGGGAGACAACCGGGCGACCGGTGCAGGTTTGCCGGAGCACTGGAGGGATGTGAGAGAGTGGAGCATAGAGAAGAGACAAAGCCACGCAGTAAGACCATCTCTGACCTCTTAAACAGCTCTGTCCTGCTTGTTCCTTTCTCTCATTGTCCTTTAAGTAGCAAGAACACTGAATGCTTCACTTTTCTGAGAACTGTCCTTCTTTTACCTTTGCACGGAAAGATCTCAGAGCTGCTGCGTTGTTTTTCCTCCTGCACAGTCAATACTAAGTCAGTTAAATATGTCCCCCGGTAAAATTGGATCTATGTTGCCTACAGACAATTCCTAATAGACTAGAATAGAATAATGTAAGTGTTTCCCAGTGTTCTGCATCTTTGGTTCCATATTCGTGTACAGTGTGGTGATTGCAATGTTTTTGGCTTTGAATCCTGGATTTGTTTTGTGGAGTCTGTTTTTTTTCTTCACAGAGATAAAGATAAGATAAGATAAACCTTTATTCATACCACAGTGGGGAACAGCAGCAAAGGATCAGCATAGCAAACATAGAAGAATAAGAATAAAAAGTTAATTTGGACCTTTACAAAAAATATTCTAGACAAAAAAGAGAGAAAAAAGCAACAACAAAAACTAAAACGGTTCTACACAGTGAACAAAAGAAAATAGGAAAATTATACCTGAGAAAGATGTAGGTATTTGCAATTGTAACAAATATCTGGGCTGTCAATATTGCACATTATTGTTCACTAGCTGTGCTACAAAACCTTGAGTACTGGGAGCAGGCCTGGTTAAACGGTCTGACTGCAGCAGGTAGGAAGGATTTTCGGTATCTCTCTGTCATAAACTGCGAGTGAAGAAGCCGGATCACCAGCAGCTCTTAAGCTCTGCTCAGACACCTCTCCAGTGCCAGATTATTCCCTCATCTCATGTGTGCCTCTACAAGCACCGGTGCAATCCACCCAATCTCTGCCACGCTGCTACACTCTCTCTAGATTCGCTCACCTGCTTCTGCCCTCACACCTCCAGCCCTCACCACTCCTTGGATTCCCTGGACCCTGGATCCCTTCCCCTCTACTTCCCCCTAATTAATAAATTCACTGTTCATGCTCCATCTGCCCCCGGTCTGCGTCTGTGTTCAAGTAAAAACACATCATAATGTAACAGTTTATTGTGTGTTTGTTCAACAAAAGATGGAGCAATTCCATTTTTCCTCCCATGATGCAAATGTTAGTGATGTTGTTTGGAGTCAGGGTCTATGTAGGAGGGATGGACTGGTGGAGCCTTAGTATTGACATTCTGCCCCTTTCCCTACAACCAAAACATGCATTTACATTATTAATACAACAGCAAAGATATCTATTTTAAAGATTTAAAGAGTTTACTTCACACTGATGTTCTTATCTTATCTGTGTGTATAGAGCTATAACATGCATCTTCTTAATGCTTTTTGATGGATGTGATATTAAACTGGCATTAAATTCAGTTCTAAATCATTTACTAAGCAGCTAATTAAATTAGTTCATTAACACAGATGTTAATCATGAAGCGCTGTCACGCAGTGCTGCACTCTGAGTGGATTTATTAAGGAGCAAACTGCCTATCAGTGAAGGAGACCTGTCTCCAGCTGTGTCTAACTTTTTAATTTATCTAGAAAGCAATCACCTTAAGATAAATGAATAATTATCTATTTACATGCCTGACATGCTATTTATGAGATGACTGGGCTGTCCTGTGTGCTTTCAAATGAGCACAAAGTCATAATTGCTCTAACAGCACTTAAATATTTTCTTCATGAACAGAAAACAAACTTTAAAAGGCAAGATCATGACAACTAGGTATTATACTTAAAAGGATATTCTGGCTCAAAATTAAGTTAGGGTCAAACACACCATAACACCGAGTTAGGCACCCCCTTAAGAGATGAATGTTGCCGACTGCTTGCTTCTCTGGTTATTCCAACTTTGGTAACAACTGCACAATAGCAATACACAGCGGTCTGAGGAGCCATAAACAAACCTCAACCAAAACGCCACTCTATAGCCACAAATAATGCTCAGAACAACAACTAACTTCATCAACAGCTCATATAGGGTCCTAGCCATAGTACCGGCGGAGTTTCGCAGCTTAAGGAAGAACATTTATGATCATTTCATCATGGAAATGCAGTCAGACCAAGATGCTAAGGCAGAAGAACTACCACGTCTGCAGTGCAAAATGATTAATATGATGAAAGGAAATGATAAAGAAATGATCATAAATGTTTTGTGGTTATAGAGTGGTGTTTTAGTTGAGGTTTGTTTACAGCTCCTCAGACCGCTGTGTATTGCTATCGTACGGTCATTACTTAAGTTGATTTAACTAGAGAAGCAAGTGGCCTGTAACATTCATTTCTCGAGGGGGTTTTTAACTCTGTGTTCCGATGTGTTTGACGCTGAATTAATTTTATGCCGGAATATCCCTTTAACTATAGATACTTAGCAGGACTGTGTTCCCTGGTAGGGAAACACAGTCCATTTTCTTATTGACCATAAGAAAATTCTGGTTATGGGAACTTATTAAAGATAAATCAGCTGTTCTCAGCTTGTTCGCTCTGAGAGATAAAAGTAATTTTCACCCACATTTTTGAAGATAATCAATAACCTCCCCACCCCTGAGAAGCAACTGCGTTAATGTACTCTCTAAGAACTAAGAATTAAAGTTGTCCTGTCAAAAAAAGGACATGTATTTTATCATTTCCTCAAATGTAAAAGTATTTTCTTGATGGTACAGTTGTTCTTTCTTTGGGAACAACAAAAGCCCCCCTAAAATACAGCAAAATCTCTTAAAGAAAGACAAAAACTATTCTGTCAGACGCTTTGAATTGATCAGGGACTTCTTGGCAACAGGAACCTAAAAAAACTAAACAAAGTCATCCGTCTGTCACAATGCAGTAAGGTCAAGAGCTTCCTGAAGTTTTTGGTCAGAATATAAACCGCTCACTTTTATGAATTCACTCTGCTGTCAGTCTGCTGGGATCAAAAGTTGCACAACCAAACTGCATGTTGCAGCATTTCTCTCATTATGATGAAATACCTCATTTTTCCCTTTGCTTCTCTCTCTCTGTGTCTGTCTACCCCCTCACTTTTTCTCACACACACTTACAGATGTGGGTTGCAGATGTGGAGGGCGTCCTCAGGTCCATGGCGAGACAGCTGGTGAGTTTGAGTTTGAGTGTGTGTGGTTTATAAAAATGACCGGGTGATAAAAATGATAATAATGTTTCCTGGTTTTGAATCCTTTGTTGTTAGGAGCTTAATGTAACCAGTGAAGTGTCAAACTAACTTATCCTCCCTTTTCCCAGAATGCCTCTCTGGAGAAATATCCTAATTATGAAAGAAGAAACAGCCCAGAGTGCTGTCCTCCGTCATCCTCCAACCACTGCAGGTCTCTCTCCAGCCAGCCTGCCGCTCCAGAGGGACAGGGTTAGATGTTGACTGTTTGAAGTCAGATTTCGAGAAAAATCCCACATAAAAAAACAACATGTCTGAACCCAGTTTTTCCTTCTTTAATCCCTCATGCAATGATCATGTCTCCTAAGCTGTTGTTTGACATTCAGGAGTGGGGAGTAATTTCACACCCAAGCGTGTCATTGCTCAACCATCACATCAGAAAAGAAGAATAATTTTCCAGCTATTAAGCTTTTCTGGGGTTTCCGCTGACTTCCTGTCATCTATTTATTTGCTCAAGGACTGGGATCAAACAACACTTCTCTCAGATGTGCATGACCCGTCTTGCGTGTGTTTGTTTAAGAGGAATCCACTTCCACGCTGTCAGCAGCACAAAAACAAGACACCAGATATTCTTTCTAACATTTTCTCAACAACATTTAACCCCCAAAGCAACAAACAAGGACCAAATCATGTGCAATAACTATTAAGCCTCATGAATGTTCAGGATGCTGTTTTTCATCGTCTTATGAGCAGGATAATTTCCTTTGTCGACAATGAGCTCCTGTGATTTCCTGCCTGATTACATAAATGAGTGAATTCATGTTGATATAAAGGTTGTTTTTCCTGTTTGTTATCCCAGGGACGCCGGTGAGCATTCAATTTATGTACCACTGGGATTGGCAAGCCACAGAGGTTGTTTTTTAAAAGGGACCAGAACCACCACAGCAACAGAAATATGGCAGAGTATTGTGCATCCACTCTATTAAGAACTCTATTATCGCAAATGTCTCAGTTTGCCATCGAGACAGCTATGTACCAAATCCCTGGAGCTGTGGCGCTCTACAGAGGCAGAAGCCTGGGGAACTAATGAGCTTAATACGTCCCAATGAGCATCGCCTCCGCCAAGCATGCACTCTAAACCCGACTGTGTAATCAGGAAGTTAAAGGACACCAATACCGGCTGATATTGGCAGCAGCACTTCCATACTGCTGTTGCTTCCCGCACTGATGAGCCCGTCTGACTCCAATTACAAGGTGAAAGCATGATCTTCCTGCCGACTCTGGCAGACCAGGGTAGGTAATCTAATGATGAGAGATAGAAACATGGTTTCTAATGGCCTCAGAGAGAGAGAGAGAGAGAGAGAGAAAGAGAGAGAGAGAGGAGAGAGAGGTAGGGTCTGATTGAGAGTCTGATACAGAGCTGTGATTTTTCCACTCAAATCATAGGCAGCACATTCGTACTGCAGGCTTCAATCTCCACAAGACCTCAAGGTTTAATGAAAAAGGAGGTAACTGAACAGGCACGAACTTATCACAGGGTTTGAGTAGTTTATTACAGTTGATGTGTTTGATGGTATGCAGAAAGAAAAGCAGGACAGTCAGACATGGCGAAGAAGGCAGCTGCATTTTGATGTGCTGATTATATAAATAAATTTACCTGCTGCTTGTAAAGGTAGTTTTTCTCTGCAAAAGTTCTGTCATTCTGCTCAGATATCATCACGTCTTTCCTGCTATCACAAATTATTAACTGTTTATCAAATTGCAACCACTTATCATCACTGTAGATTATTTCTATATCATCCTCAAAAGTGATGGATTAATCAAAAGATGAGTGAGCTGTTGCTGAAATGCCAAGGTAGAAAGGTAGACTGATGAAAAGTTGTTGAGCTCCTCCACAGTTCACAATTTCTCTTGAACTGAGTTTTTTCTTGCTCCTTTTGGATTTAGTTCTACTTAACATGACAACATGGATTAATTAAAAGGATATGCTGGCGTAAAGTTAGGTTAGGGTCAAACACATTGCAACACCAAGTTAGACAGCCCCTCAAGACTAAATCAATGACTGCACAACAGCAATACACAGCAGTCTATGTCTCCACATGCAAACCTCAACCAAAAAGCCACTCTATAGCCACAAATGATGCTCAGAACAGCACCTAACTTCAGTAACAGTTGGATCAGTCAATCACCGAGTGCAGCGGAGTTTCGCAGCTCAAGGAAGAACATTTATGATCATTTCTTCATGGAAATGCAATCAGACCAAGACGCGAAGGCAGAAGAACTACTGCATCTACGGTAATTATTATGATGATTATCACTTCATGGAAGTGATCTGCTGCACTCGGTGATCGACTCGTCAGGGCTCCCCTCACAAACAAGCGGCTGCTGAAAGAGAGTGGGTGAGTTGTGTTTGTTCTCTTCTCTAAAGAAACCAGGCAAAGCTAAAAAGATGTTTGATGGCTAGTACTAAGGCTAGGACCCTTTATGTACTGTTGATGAAGTTAGGTGCTGTTCTGAGCATCATTTGTGTTTTTGTTGACGTTTGCATGGGAGACGTAGACTGCTGTATATTGCTATCGTGCGGTTGTTACTAAAGTTGGTATAACTAGAGAAGCAAGCGGTCAGCAACATCCATCTCTCCGGGGTGTCTAACTCGGTGTTACGATATGTTTGACCCTAACTTAAATTTAAGCCGGAATATCCCTTTAATACAGGTCCAAGCTTTATTTACAGTTTTTCTTTTTCGAAAAACAGTGGGAGGCGGAGAGTTAAATCATTCATGCCATCAAGTCTGCAATGAACTCTGGGTAGATCCCACTTTGCATCATGAAGTTCATATCAGAGCCCCCAGGACATAATGATCTGATGGTCCAACAGTCCTCGGCACTCGAGCGTACCGGGAACATATCTTAGAGTTCATGAGTGTGAAGATCGAGACACACATGGTGTACCATGAGTCACCATCCTTCATCCTTTGTGCTCTCTTCGCAGCCCAACAGATGTGACACCTCTTCCTCACACAAGGATTGTTGCTCAGGATAGTTAAAGGACCTGGTTTTGAAGGCAAAATTTTACCACATGTAGAAGTCTGTCTTGATCATGTTTTGCTGCCGCATTTGACACCAATGAATCCAGACGTACTATTTGATTTGTCTTCTTACTGAGTATATTTTTAAGGTATTTTCTAAAGTTTGATAATTAGAAAAGTGATCCAGTGAGACATACCACCTTTATGTTATCAAACACTGTTACTTACTTCGTATTATGGTCCTGGTCACCCTGCCAGAGTTCTAATTTGAATCAGTTTGCTCACCATAAATTACTACTTGGTTTATGTTTATGTTTACAAACAAGATTATTCACACCCTTCGCTTTATTAGAGGTCAAAATATTGTAAAATAGTTACCGAAGTAAATCCTCTCACTGCTCTGTTGTAATGGATATGCTGTAATCAACACACAATGATGAGAAAGCCTCCTAATTAGCTGTCTGACAAGACGCTTCTCAGGCAATTATCACATACCAGCAACAGTTACATCCTCCAAACCCTCATCTAAAGACCTTGGACATAAAACAGCTGGAACCGCCCACACTCTTTCTTTTCCCCATCTCTCTCTGTCTCTGCTCATTTATAGGTTGCGGTTTTGTCAGGAGGCTCGAGTGTGATGAAGAGGTTGTGAGAATAGCGAGGTGTCTTCTAGGTCAACACGGTATGTTTGTTCTCTTCCCTCGGTGTCACCGGGGCACCACTTCAGGAAATGAGCAGGGATATTCAGAGGAGCTGTTTCTTCTGAGTCACATGTAAGCATCATGAGAGCTGACCCTGTGGTTTACACGGTGAAGGAAGAAATGAGATAAAAGACGACCACAGCGGAGAGATGCCTGATGGAGTCATAAATAACTTAACCAGCAATTATAATTCAAAGAAGGAACAAGACAGCAAACATATACACAGGTCCAAAGAACTTCTTTACTTCTTTGTCCAATCTGAACTTAATGTGAACATGCTTTCCAAATAGTATTCACTGGCACTTCTACATTGTTAAAGACCCACTACAATGAAAACCATGTTTTTCTTGTTGTCTGTATGTTCATATGGCTGTTTTCTAGTGCTACAGGACACATCATGAGAAAACTATTGTGAGTATTTCTGCGTTCAAATCGCTGCGAACCTCTCACAGACCCAAACGGCAGGTTCAGACCACAGACTGTATATACTATAGACAACTTGCTTCCACCTTCCGTCATTATACAAATTTGAAGCCGAATTGCTCTCAGTATTCCCCGTTTTTTCTCTCCACTTCCTGAAACTAACGTTGCGCAGTAGCGTTGTACGCATTCAGAAAGTCGCCCAGAGTCGCTGTGATGACCCTTGGCTCAAACAGCCTTAGACTAACAACATCCCAAGCGGGGGGGATTTATATTCTTTATAATAAATTTCTAAAGTTTGTACACAGCTCCATAGGGATTGCTGGAGGAGGCGGGCTTTATGACCTATACTGCAGCCTGTCACCAGAGGGTGCTGTTCTTGCAGTGGCTTCACCCAGTGAGGAGGCAGACGGCATCTATTTTATATACGATCTATGGTTCAGACTAGAGGATAACATTTTTCGGGAATTCATGTGGATCACGTGATTCCCACGGGAATCCCACGGGATGGGAACAACATTAATAGATGATCATTTTCAGCCGATCATGGGATTAATTTAAAAATGACTCCCATCCCGTGGGATTCCCGCTGGATGGGAATCACGTGACCCATGGGAATTCCCACAGGAATTCTTAAGGGACACTTGGAATACCAAAACAAACTCTTAGATTACACACAAACAGTACAAGTTTGGCAGTCTGTGACTTCAGATCTGAATACAGCCTCCAGATGAGGTGTTTTAAGTCTTAGGTCTTACAAGCAATATCTTTTTCTGTGATTGACAAAGCATGTGTTTTCAGGATTCATGTCAAATCTGTCCAGGTTCATGCTTTCATTTAAACGATACATACAGATTTTATTCCGCTGCACAACACATGTCAAAACAGTGAATGTACCCTATAGACATGACCGTAAAGCCCACTGGCTACAATATTATGTGCATTTCTGCAACAATACAGCCTCTGATGAAACTCCCTCTGATGCAGTTAGGCGAGTTGGCACTCACTTTGAAACCCCGCATATCTACCCACTGTGACACATCAGCGCTTCCCTCATCATGTTAATCAAGCCGCCTCTGTTCAAATCTCCTACAGCTACGCTCCAACAAGCAGGCCACCCCGAATGGAGGTGACCCAATAAACTGCGTCTTCATTTAATGAGGAGTGATTCCCCGCTGCACAGGGAGAGGCCTGGGCTTCCCTTCTGTCTGC